ACCAGAGAACGAAAATCCATCAAGTCGCCGAGAACGGCCGTTCCGGTACTAAAGTTGTAATACCAGAGAACGAAAATCCATGTTTGTTGCTCAGAGTGTATATAGTCGTTGTAATTAGATCCCATGTGACCCCCAAACCCCCTTTGAACGCTGACTTGACATGACTTCCTCGGGAGCACTCGCCCTCTTAGGGGAAACACCAGCATAAAACTGACTCGACTTTAACAAATGGGAGTAACTGGTTTGCTGCTGAAGCACATTGGGTCGAAAGCGAAAGATCAGGAAGCGGATGCCTCCTTGCACAGGCTTTCCAGACCAGATGGGAGCTTTCCATGCAAAGAAGAAGCACGAGGCCAGGAAGACTCCGCTCAGCGCAAGGACGCAAATACCCAACAGCTGCATCAAGGTGTGCTCGGCGGATGCGCAGAAGACGTTACTGTACTTTAACACGCTCTCAGCGCCGGAGGGGTGACGATAGCACATAAAGGGAGCCAGGCCCACATTGGTCATGGTGGTGAAGCTCACCTGGCAGAACTGGCCGATGGTGCTCATGGTCTTGTACTTCTGCCAGCTCAGCCAGGAGAAGCGCCGGGGAAGGAGGTTCGTGAGAAACGCAGTCAACACAAGGCCAAAGACCACGACAAAGAACGCTGCACAGTTGCCTGCAAAGCGCTGAACGGGGCCGCCAGCAAGGCAGCTGAAGCCCAGGCTGTCTAGATCCAGGAGAAAAAGCTGGAAGAAGCCCAAGAAGTCTTTCAACCCTGCTGGCCAGGGCACGGCCACTGTCTGTATCACACCCAAATTCTGGAAAAGAGAGACCATCATCCCAAAGCTACAGGTGGTGCAGGTCAGCACACTGGCTTTGGCGGTATAGCTGGACGTGAGGAGGTAGTACGAGCTAAAAATGCCAAGTGCCAGAATGGCAACGCCGAGAAGCCATAGAGCAGGAACTGCCACTCCACACTCAGTGCATTGGTCGCTCGAGAAGAAGAAATTCTCAGGGCATTCGCCGCAAGTGAGGCCCTCCCGACCTCCATCGCAGCTGCCAGGCGCTCCCCCTGGGCAGTGCGACTGGCAGCGATAGATCTGTAATGGTGCCTCGATGCTGCTGTAGTACATGGGCAACACCGCTGGCCCTTCCTGGCGCTCCTCGCCACTGCTGTTCACCAGCCGTTCGACAGTGCTTCCCTTGGGGCAGGACAGGCCTTCCACGCAGCTCTCGCAGAGCCCCGACTTTTCGATCAAACCTGACTTGCCTGAGATGAAGCACAGCTGCTTGCATTCTTGCATGTCACACAAGGCTAGGATAAGGCCGGGAGGCATACGCAGTCTTCCAGCCTGCTGGCAGCGAGGAGCTGTGTTGTGCGGTCCGCGTCGCAGCTGATGCAACGTGTCTGGCCCTCCAAGGTCCTTACATGAGACACTTGTTGGAAGACTGTATCTACCAGGCTGGGAGGACAAACTCTACACTCCGGCAAGTGTCTGGTAAGATCCTTGTTCGCACACATTGCAGGTTTCCCTTCCATGAGTGTCTGTGTAACCTCCAGGCGGGCATGGCGTACAGCTGGTGGCTGCACTCTTTTCCTGAGAAGTTCCCGGGCTGCAGCGGACACAGCGGCGTGTGGCCCCTGTATCATCCAAATACTCCTGCGAGAATCTTCCTGCAAAGCTGTCCGTGAAGGCAACATGCACAGAGCACACAACATGACCCTGTTAACAATCTCGAACCAGCAGTCCTGGCACACAAACTTCACATGTTGTTGCATTCGCCCTTTCAGTCGCAAAGTTGCCTGCGCCGTCAGCTAGACCAAAGCCAGTGATGCAATTGGTCTCGATAGGGATCCACTCTTGCCACCTGCACAGGTGTCAGCACTACCAAGTGCAGCTAGCCACAACCACACATTCAGCTTGCACAGCTATGTAACCCGCCGGAGCCTAATCTTCTGGTCCTTCACCCACTGGCACGCGACGTCATAACGCGAAGTGCCTGAACGCTTTGCATTTGGCAGCTCATGCAAGGTAGCAATGAGCCTAGAGCTCTTCTGGAGTTCGGTTTTGAGGTCGACAGAGGCATGTTGTGTAACCTGCCCTGACTCAAGTGCACATCTGTACTTTGCCGCAGCACCGGAAGCAATTGTCAGCAGCAAATCCATCAACTCGGCAAGCTCGAATCTCATGTTGGAGATGAAGTCACGAACCTTGGTGCCTAAACCTCTTCCCGCATAAAGTACATACAGGGAGCAAGCTTTGGGCTGATGAACCAGACTGGTACATGGCCGTCAAGCTATCAGCATTCGAACTACTCCAGGGATGTTTCAGAGAATGTGGCTGCAATCAAGAAGCCCTCGGTGCCTGATTGCCAAAATTGCTGCTAGTCGCCTTGCTGATATATGTGCCAGTTGCTGCCGTCCTCATATTTCCCTGTGCCCACTCCTGACATTCAACCGTTTGCACGGCTGCAAGCAAGTCAGACAGCGGCTCCTGAGCCGAGTGGGGTGGGAAGGTGATGAAATGCGGTTGCTGCCTGAGTTGAGGCATGCAATCCAGCAATGGCCTGTGGTGCACTGCGACCCTGAGTGCGATGCGTAATGAACGTTGCATCTGGCACCCACCAGTAGAAGAGGATGCGCTTGCTGGCAATGATGGATGTGTAGTTGCCCCATCCGGCAGCCACGGCGATTGCAGTGGGCATGCCGTAGGTCGTCGACCAGTGCATCATTGCTTTGGCCTGCGGCAAAAGTTGTCGGGTTCTGACGCGTTTCATTCAGGAACACTCGCAACGCGGCACCTGTAAAAACGCCTGTGAAAACATCCCTTGGTTTCTGCTGCAGATTTTCAGCTGGCCGAAAGTAGATCCGCAACAAAGATTTTGTGTGCCTTGCCCCTTTTTTCCATTTCCAGATGCAGCAACAGTAGTCTGAAGCCTTGCGGGGCGTATGGACAGACTAAGTCTGGCTACATGTAGCAGCTGTGCAATTGCACATCCAAGTGTGAAAAACATGCAAAGAGAAACCATTAAGGTGCCTTGCCCCTCCTAATTCAGAATACAACTTGCAAAGCGAGCGCTACATGTGAACAATCCTCACATGCTCCAGCTGAGCATGCCATACACGCAATGTGCAACCCGTGGTGCAACCGCAATGCCTATGGATGAGGTGATTTTTTGGCATCAGTAAATGTAAAAAAATGAAAAGGATTATCGTTGGGGATATCTGTGCTTCACTGGCTTGGTGCCCCTGTGGCCCAATTAGGCATTTAAAGGGTTCACATGCAATGCTCAATGGAGCTTCAGAGTAAAGGAATTTGCTTGCTGTCTCCTCGCAGTTGCCCCTAGCGGAGCCCACCTTCCAGGATCCAGTCAATTTTGGATGCTGTGGGACGAAGGACGCATGGACCGGGGAAGGATGCGGGGAGGGGCGTGGGTGTGTGCATCATGCTGGAAGGGAGCTGGGAGGAGCACGGGATTTGCAGGATTGTAATCTAGCGGCGCTCGCTGAGGTGCCGTGGTAATCGTCAAATTGTACCTGTCATTGCTTGATGTGGCATGGAACAAGTCAAGGTTGCTACCTGGCCCGACGTGGATGCTTTACTCTCCTTGCTGTCGCAGCAAGGACATTTTTGTCTGGGCCTCTTAGAATGGATGTCATTGCTTGGCCTGGCATCTATGCTTAAGGAAGTGGATGCTATTCCAAGTATTCTGGTGGCAGGGAGGTTTTCCGAGTCCAATGTGCTTTTTCCTGCGTGGTTTCATGCGTGGAATGCCACAGAGGCGTGCCTCTGCTCAAAATTTAACACAAGTTTTACGAAGGCAGTCAAAGCGCGGTCCTGCCTTCCAGCCGGAACCTCCGGTTACAATGGGAATGCAAGCTGATGTATCACTCCTGCATTCGGGCGATATCCACCATTTGTCCGCATGACACCTTGCGACATAAGCGCCATTCGCTTGCTGTTCAACTCCTGACATCGGTCAACCACATCGCATCTAGGAATTAGTCTGTTGGGTGCCGATTTACTTAAGTCCTGCAGCATCGCCGGTAAATCTGGCATAGCTTTCCATGGCATCTGAACTGTGGAAATCCTTGGATGCAGTGTTGGAGCAGGAAGCAAATGCTGGACTGCTGGACAGCCATAACCCTCTGAGTCCGAGTTTCAGTGTCATTGCAGAGTGCCAGATTTGCCAAACTTATGGCATCGATGCTGTCGAAGTACTGCTTGGGGTTATGATGCGTCAGATTGTAGCCTGTTGTGAAGCTGAGCTTCTGAATGTGAAACATACTGAAACCGTAAGCAGGTGCAGAAAAGCGCTGCTATTGCCAAAGCAACAAGATTGCTGAAGCTTGCTCCGGGCAGCCTCTGTAATAATCCAAGCTTAATCCTTCAGCATCCAGCGCTTGCTTGAGAACGTTTGCACTCAGGTAGATCGACTCTTCGCCTTCGTATCCCATATCTCCCAAGTCCACAGGAACCAGGTGAGGGTAGTTCCGCTCCATGCTCTTGACTTCTGGAGAGAAGGTGGCCCACCAAGAGTCCACCTGAACACAAGCAGGAGCTGAGCAGCTTAGAAGCATTGCGTCCGTCGAAGAACAAAGGCTGCGCACAAGCTTTCAGCAAGAAAACAAAAAAGATTGCTTGGATGTTGGGCTGCGCTGACGTGGAGCCGGGTCTCATTCAAGTCGCACTTCCGATCTGTGGCGCTGTTAAAATCCTGAGCAATTGATAATCAGTTTTCTGGGCTCAGCCATCTTCGCAACAAGAGTTCAAAGCCGCCCCCTTCCCTCAATAGCTATGGCATGGCAAGCAGAACAGCGTCTTAGGGGTTGTGGCTTTTGCAGCATCCGAAGCGCAAGGACTTCAGAAAATGATTTGGCAGGACACTTCGAAATCTTATCTGGAGAAAGTGAGGCAGGCTTCCAGTCAGTAGTGACGTGCAACGGCGCAATACCATCCCAAATGCATGGTGCGGTGCATACGCGGTATCCCGGTCCGACACCTCGTTGCGGATCCATTGCCGAACCTTAAGTCGGCACGGGGACGCATTCTGCACCCGCCGGGCTAGGGATGTGTGGCTTGCGCCTGCGTCGAACTGATGTTTGGTCAAACTTGGCCCGCCAGGTGCGGGTGGGTGGGCAAAATTCTTATGGGCGTCGAGCCGCTGTACACGTTAGTCCACATGCACGGATGTGCTGCGCCAAAAACCCTTCTTCAGGGTGCACTGACCCGCGACGTTGTCGATGTACGCCGTCCACAAGCCGCGTATCCATTTGGAAAAGGTGGCAAGTGATGGCGAGCATCTGCGCCGGGACCTCGAAGGTGTAGAGGAACGCCTGGCCATCGTCACAGGACGGAAACTCAGCCCTTCTTCCTCTGAGAGGGCAGGGTGTCTTCTGGCGCCCTGCCTTGATGAGGGCACTCCGCGAAGATGCTGGCCTGCACTTTGCACTTTGCGTACCCTACGGCACCCGCTGTAGCTTTTTACGCCACCAAGTGGTTTCGCTTGAGGTGAGCGACGACTGCAAGGATGAGGTCGGCGTAGCCATGACCGATGAGAGCAATAGAGGGCAGGCCACAAGATGCTTGTGTGGGTGACGGGCCGCTGAATCCCCTGGTTCGTTGAATAATATGATGAGACGGCACATGCCCCCATGTGCCCGCCGCTACAGACAAGTTCTTAGACACCGATTTTGATTCTCGATCCTTCTGCACCTTTTCGCGCAAACATGCGAACACCATGCAGAAGCAAGCTGGTTCAAACCTGGCAAATGCGGATCTGGTCCGTCAAGAAGTGCAGATTTGCAACATGCAATCAATTTTGAATGTTTGCATTAGTTTTAACTGCTCATCGCCAACACAATCTGGGTGACCGCACCAAGGCTGAAATTGACATACTCTGCAGACTGTGGCGATCTGTGGTGCTGCAACTCTTGGGCTGAGAACATGCGTTAGAACCTTGCCCTTAGTTCAGTCCAGATGCCAAACATCCTGCCAAGGCGTAGGGTGTTGTGACTGCGCTTGCTCCATCCTCTGGGTGGGTCCAAGTGTTGTAGCCCAGCACCTGTGGCAAGCACAGAGCTTGTGAAGATCTGGAAGATGCGACGCAGTGCTGGTCATGACGAAAACGGCTGCTGCGAATAACGTGACTGCTCTCTGGGCACCTCCCCAACGAGGATCCTTGCTATGTCCTTGGAACTGACAGTGCACTGGATGGAGGCATGGAGGCTTGAATTCAAACCAAATGGTCTAGCAGACCGCAGCGTGGTGGTCAGAACCTCCTGCACTGGACTCAGGCCTACATTTCCTATGTATGAATTGCTTCCTCACGAGTAAGGATCCGGCCGATGTCAGGTAGGCCGATTCCCATGCCCCTTGAAAGAAGCCAATTGGAATGTCAGCGCCGTCAAGGGTTTGGATGAACTGACCTCTGCTTTTAAGACACTCAAAAGGCAAGAATGCATCTGTAGATCCAAGACGTGAATGCTTTCCTCCCCACAGACTGAATGACTTGAAGTTCAGTCAATGCTGCATCATGGGTGTTCTTGGAAGCACGTTTCCGGCCATCCAATAATGCCCAGACAAAGCTGCGTTCTGCCACGGGAATCGCTTCGGGCAGACATTGAGGAAGAGGACTCGCTACCTCAGCACATGGAGACTCAGCTAGCTTAAGGGCTGTAGGCTCGATGCAGTCCTAAAAAGAGGGCCTGGGTATGTACAGCAGGGAGTCCTAGACAGTTATACAGAAAAGACCGGAGTTGACTCCGTCACCAAGGCCAGATATGACAGGAGGAATTGAGAGGATCACCAAAGCCAGACGCGATCAACCGCACTCCACAGAATGCCAGGAGATGGTGGGGACAGGCGGAAGGCTCACATCCTGAAGTTTGTTTCCTCGAATCCCCGGAATGTCCTGCCCAAAGATGCCGAACGGCAAGTGCTTTGCTTCGGAGCTGACGAAGTGCCAGTGATACAGTTGTGGACCCTGATCCAAACATCAGGCTGCCCTCCCGAGTTGTTGGCTGGTGAAAAAGGTCTGCAAACCCCATCGGCTCGAGCGTGCGCTGAGCAGACCACTCAGTGAAGCCCGTTCGTGACCGTTCGTGTAGCAAAGTGCTCGGCTGACGATGGTCGGGATGATCTGACCACATGGGGCCTTTTCTCCAGGCCGGCCCTCAGACAGATGTTAAGGGTTGGAACTCCCCTCAAACTGCCCCTTTTCAGTCTCTCAAGAAACGAAAACCTCGAACTGGAGGTCAAGATGGTAAAAAGTGACAATCAGCAGGTGGGGTTGTCTTGGCCTCACACTCGACATCGCCACTACCCTCCTTGACCGAACACAAGCATCTTGACACGCTTAGACTTGACCCAAGGAGGGGAACGGTGAAACAGGTACCCTCCATGCATGCAGATGATGTGTCACATCGGTAAAAGTTCCATCCGAAAGCTTGAAGACGCAGAATGCAAGCAGAGCAGTCCAAAACACATTTATATTCCTCGGCCTGAACATTCGACATGAAAAACATAGAAGTAGTACGGCTGATTCCTGCTGGCCAGCCAAGGTCGGAAGTGATGTCAGCTCCTGAACTATCTTAAGCACCCACATCCACGGAGCGCTGACAGCAAGCTCCCTGCGGTTGTTGCCCAGGCAGGTAGGTGGAAATGATATGAGAACAAAGTGACATCAACCAGTTCTTGCAGCACGGGGACAGCATATGCCCACAGAAGTGTCCACCAAAGGTGCATCATGGCTCTTCGGAAGAGATGAACTTCTAGCCAAATTGCTTCAAGGAAGATATATGTCCAAATCAGCTAGAGCACAAAGTGCTCCTGGAAGCAGAGCATGCACCGAGTCTGGGGATCAAATCCTTTTGTTCTCCTGCGGGCTCACAGGTCCTGAAAAGTACCATGCGCTTGCTCCGGAACATGTCGACTTTTCAGTGCTTTGAGCAGCACACCGAGCCATTTGCGCTCTTGAATTAGCCAGCAGATTGCAGCTGCTCACAGCTGGCCCTCAGGATCGCGTGGCCTTGGGCTCATGTCGCAGCAGCCTGGCACAAAGCAGTTCAATGGAATTATTGGTTCTGGAGATGTGGTAGTAAGAAATCATAGATGGAATCTTTTGCTGACTGTCGCTTCCAAATTAGGATAGATAATAGGTACCGCTGCCTCTCTCGCCCTCTTGCTGAGCCGCAACTTGTGGTCTGAACATTACGTCCAAAATCTGAGGCCTCCCGCCAGCAGCGCCCTTCGCGGATGGTGCTGCTTGGAGCCTCCGAGAAGAGACCCAAAAACATGTGTTAAAAAGAGGAGAAGAGACGACTCTTTTCTTGGCATGTAGTCAACAATCTTTTACAGGTTGTAGAAGACTCTTTTTGTTGCGGAGTCCGTTTCTGGTTTCTGTGAACGGGACCCTTTTCCTTTTCTCTACAGACCGCGTAAAGAAGAGCTCGCCAGCCGCCAGCCCACCTCAAGCGTCCCAGTGGTCCTGGATGTACTTGATCTCCCCCAGCGAGATCGGTGGGTCCTTCAGCAAAACACGTACCTGCAAACCTTGGACCTTCCACTGCTTGTGGTAAACTGCCATTGTCTTGACTCGCACTCCAGCAGGCTGACAATGACAATGATCGGATAAGGACGTCCCTTGTTTGGAACCCTACTTGAACAGCTTGGGAAGTGCTGGCAACACTCAAAACAAAACTCTTGCTGGCTCTACTTGGAAAAGCAAGAGGGCCCAAAGGCCATACCTGGCAGTTGGTGCCTCGCAGGACGCGTGGTATTCCCAGAAGTCTACCAAGTTCACGTAGGCCTCCCGCTCCCTCACCTGACAGAAAGGCCTAAGGCCCCAGGTCTCGAAACTGAAGAGTTCGCTGAGAGTTGAATAAATCCCACCTTCATCGCCCGGATGACTTTGCCAACCGGGATGAAGAACCAGCCCAAAACAATTCCTCTGAACTCCTCAAGGAGTTAGCCAAGTGACGTCTTGCAGCCTTGCATGTCATCTGAGAGATTCTGGGCACCCAGATGCTCCTGCGGTATCAGCCTGTTCATGATCATCTCATGCAGCACGTAAGCGAGGGCCTTGGTGCATGTGTGGAAATACTCAGCGCTGGGAGCTGCAATTGCAAATAACATTGTATTGTGAGAGGTGCCCTTCTGTGGATCTTCGAGCACTTGCTCTTGCAGAAGGTCTTGGCAAGCCTCGTGCAAGCTGGAATTGGTGAGAACCGGAAGGTGTGATCTGGGCAGCATGCGTTCCGAAGACAACCTCTGGGCCGAAAGCGTCGTACCACCTTCCCAAGGTCAGCCCACTGCTGGGTGTGATGGCAGACTCAAGTGGCCCAAAGGTTGGAGTTGGGGAAGGTAGCCAGGCACCTGGAATTCACCTTCCTGGCAAAGTTTGGGATCTCATCCTTGTCCTGCAATTTAAAACTCAGCTGCGCAGCATTCCGTCATATGACAGGTGGGGATTCCCTGTTTGAAGCATCCTTTGCTTGAGCCTGCTGGATCGTCCTGCAAGCACTCCTTGGTGCCTAAATGCCTGATCTCGGCGCACCACTCTGCGTACTCCTCAGAAGCATGAAGCTTGCAGCAGAACAAAGGGATGCTTCTTGACCTTCAGCAGGTCTCATTTGTAGACTGAATCAACACAGCTCTGCGTCACGTGAAAACATTGAACTGAACAAGTCGGCTCTTCTCAGCTCACACATGCTTTGGCTGCAAAGCAGGAAGAACAGCTTTGTTGACTTACTCATGTATATATATATATGACACGAAGAAAAGCTACGAGGAATTCTTGTGCCTACATCCAGGCTCTTACATTAGTCAGCTTGGTAGCGCACCTCCTCATCTATCTTTGGCCTCAATACCCGGGGGGTCCTGTCGCGGAGCAGGCTGAAGAATTGATAGGGGAGGAATTGATAGGGCAAATAAGGAGCTCACAGGAAACGGCTGCTCAGAAATGTAAGAGGCATGACCGCATGGAGGTCGTTACATCGTCGTCGCTTGAGAGACGTTGGCTCCCAAACGCTACAGACAAAGCTGCGCTTCTCAGGTCTGAAGGATGAAGCACGTCTCTCCAAACAAGGTCACCTGTTATACTACACTAAAACCCCAACCCACTAAGTGAGGCCAGTGCTTATTTGCAGACCCAGTGGCCCATGTGGCGACACCTGGTCGGTCACAGCGCCCACATCCTTCTTCTTTCTATTTGCTTCTTCCGCCATCTTTTGCAACCTCCACAGTCCAGCATCCCACCTCTTCCGTGGGCGTCAAGGGTTCCCCTTCTAACCTGGCTTCAGGTACTTGAGGAGTTTCTTGGGGGTCCTTCAAGATGGAGCCTCACATGGGACCCCAAGTGAAAGGATTGTCTAAGGATATCTGAGGTTCATCTTGGCAACGCCTCGTCTTTGGATGTAAGGAAACTGTTATCGCGAGCAGGAAGACGCTGGCGCCGCTGCCTCCGCCGCTTGGACGGTGGCTCGTAGGCCTTTGCTGACCTGGCGAAACCCACTCTGAGCGCCAATAGTTTTGTCGTTAGTGCTCGTAGTTCACGATACATGTACGATGCAAACATACAAGTGATCCTAACACTATGCTACTTGAGAGCCACGGGCTGGGACGAAAGCTCAATAGTGGTCAGGACTGGTGACACAGGATGTGAAGAGACAGACAATATACAACCAGAAGAGCACGCAGCCCTCCTACCGAAAGCCTCCTATTAAAAACACCCTCTAAGATCCCTCCCAGACCTCCCAAGATCCTCCCCAAGATAGCACCCAAGAGTCTAGCCCAACAAGAACGCCGGAAAATTCAGCCTGTGGTGTAGGGCAGCTCAAAAACACCGGCAAAATTGCCTCCCCGCCCCCTTGCGCTGCCCGGCTGCCCGGCCACCCCGAGTTTTTAGTTGGTAGAAACTGTTTTGAGAAGCCACGTTTCACGC